CGTGCGCTGCGAGGACCTAGGGCGGACTCGATGCATTGTATTGAGGCGGACCCCTCGCGGACGGCCTGCGCGGTGACCCACGAAATGCCGCACGACCTCTGTAAAGTAATGGCCGAGGCGAGATAAACGACACATGCCTGCTGTGCTTGTGACAAGCTGGGTCGCTGCTTAGATGCCGCCGCGTCGCACCGCGCCAGTCCTGCGCAGTCCAGCCGTGCTGTCATCACCTTGAGCAGCTGCAATGCACGCACCATGGACATCATGTGCAGGCATGCTCTTCAACAAGTTGTGTTGCAATACTTACACTCTAGTCAAGTTTTTCTCGAGTCAAGTCTTGAATGCGCGCACCACGTGTGAAGAAATAACAGAGTTGACCAAGGGCGCCAATGCACACACGATTGCAGGTATTAGGTCACAGCAAACACGATTGTTGGCAAGCAGTTTGCAACACGTGCTTTCAACTGGACCCCACCGCCACTCTTGCCGATCTCAACCGGATTCTTGAGGACGCAAGCAGAAGTGCCAAACCAAGTTGCACCTAGTCTTTGAAAACAGTTTCATGTCATCATCAAGGGGGAACAAGCAGTGCACGCCAAACAAGAATGTCGCATCAACTTCAGACCTGCCGCCGCTGCCGCCGTGCTGGCCGCTGCGCCTCGTTGCCGCTGCCGCTGCCACCGCAATCGCTCCCATCGCCGCCGCCGCCAATGCCGCAGCCGCCGCCGTTGCCGCCGTTGCCGTCTGCACCCTCAAGGCGGCTGGCCAAAGCCGTTTCGAGTACTCCCCTGCACCTCTTGCCAAACTTGGCCACAGTCATGCCCTTGGAGTCCCGCGACGGCAGGCCCAGCTTGGCATCGAGAGATCCAGCTGCTTCCAGCAGCGTCACCTCCCTCCGCCTTGCGCAGCCCGCCACAATCTGCTGCTGCTCCTTCCAGACTGCCTGGATGATGTTGCTAACCTCACCCCACCGCGCCTTCCACTTCCTGTGAGGCTGTCGCCATGTGTGGTTTGAGGGGTTGCCCTCCTCCAGCTGCTGCCGCGTCAGATCATATCCAGGCGGGGCCTGCAAAAAGCATGAAGAGTGTTTGATTGTTCATCACTATGGCTCCATTCAATCACAAAGCGCAAATGCCCCAACACCCATCAGAGTATCTCTTATAGCATAAAAAAGGCCAAATGATTTGTAAGGCCTAGAAAGGGCTGAACGAACCAGCATGCTGACACGCACGTTCGCGTGCACAGGCGGCCCCACCCACAGCCACAACTCGCCACCCACTTATGAAACCACGCGCACGCGCGCCCGTCCACACACACACACACACACACACACACACACACACACACACACACACTTATGCACGCACACGCACTCACACACACACGCACACACACAGACACACACACACGCACGCGCGCGCGGGCTCAGAATCATTTGTGCACGCAACCCAAACAATTGCACGCATCTTCACACGATTGCAAGCACGTTGGCGCTAAACTAACCTGAGTGTACCACTCGACCAGCTCCGTCACCGTCCTGCATCTGCCCAGCTCAAGGATAGCACGCACAGCTGGGGGACCTGCCTGCTCCTGGCGCTGCTGTGCCCCCGCTGTTGACGCCAAGACAGGCTGCAGGGCTGTTCCCAACATTGATGCTGCTGCCTGCCGCTCGTGCAGCTGCTGGCCGACCGAGTTTGGCTGGATGATGCCGACTTGTGACAATGCCGCCTGCGCGCCTCGCTGTGCTGACAGCTCCACGAAAGCCAGCAGGCGCGCCGCTGCATTGGGCGCCCAGGCGCCGTTGGTGCCGGTGCCGCTGCCGTACGCAAAAGAAAAAGGCTCTAGCTGGGCCATAAAAGGGTCGGCACCACCAAACATCTGCGCTCCTGCCTGGAGCAGCTCGTTGAGCTGCTGCTGCTGCTGCTGCTGCTGCTGCTGCGGCAGCGGCGGCGCCGGCAGCGGTAGCAGCTGCTGCTGCCGCGGCTGCTGCTGTTGCTGCTGCTGCTGCTGCTGTTGCAGTATCACATGTTGTTGCTGTTGTTGCTGCTGCTGCTGCTGCTGCTGCTGCTGCTGCTCGAACCGCTGCACCCGTGGGTGCTCCGCATGGAAAAAGTCCCCAATAAAGGTGCCCTGGTGTGTGATGATGATGATGATGATGATGATGATGATGATGATGATGATGATGATGATGATGATGATGGTGGTGGATGTGAATGTGTGCGGCAACAATTGTCAAGCCGGCGAGAAGGATGAGTATCAAAGCATGCAAGTGATTGATGCATTGGCAAAAGTATGCAAGGCAGCTTGCGCTTGCGGAGCGCTCTGCCACGATGCGTCCCTCAAGCATGCTCAACAATGAATTGGGTGAACAAGCGGCAGCCGTACCTGATCCATCATGCCGGCCCCGCGTTTGTTGATGGCAGCCTGGCTGCGGCTCTGGCCACTGGGGGAATAGAACTCAGGCTCCAACACGTCAGGGGGGGTCACGTGGCAGGTCATCACCACGTCGCCATCAACCGCGTCCGCCGCTGCCGCGCTGCCCTCGAGCAGCAGGTGCGCGCCCTCAAGTGCGCCGCCGATGGAGGCTGCGCCGCCCGCCGGCTCCCCGTCGCCCGACCCATAGGCAGGCTGCAGAGCAAGCTGGGTGTAGGGGCTGGCGCCCTCAATAGCCGGGGTGGCGCTGCGGGTGAGATCGCCGCTGGCTTGGAGTCCGGCCGGCGCGACAAGCTCCCCAGTGTCTGCAGAGGCGCCCAGGCCGAGGCGCGCCAGCAAACGCCGCTCAGACGCCTCATGGGCGCGATCGATGTGGGCTGTCACGCGCTGCAGCAGATCTAGCTGGCTCGCCGGCGGGCGCTCCTGCTCGAACCCGCCGAGCCCCCCGTATGAAGAAAAGCGGACATTGAGCTCTCTGTTATGGTGTTAGAACAAAGCAAGAGCAAGCTGATCCGAAATTGTACCGAGTGCTTGCTTAAAGCGCGGTTGCATTGGCAAATGCTTGCTCCAAGAGGCGCATGCCAAGAGGCCCCACACCACATGACACTCAAATTACCCCAGCGATCCCTGAGCCGGGATAATTTCAGCAGCGGGGCGCTGCATGCCCATGCAACCTCCACAATGCCGACTCCTCTGCGCTTCCCTCAAACCAACCCCGCCTCACGTGAACATGGGGTTGCTGAGCAGGTCAGCAAAGAAGGGGTTGTTGGGGTACTTGTCCGCCAGCACGCATGCATCCTGGATGCCGCAGCGCATGATGAAGCGGAGCGTCTTGCCCAGCTGCACCGCCTCCTCTGCTGCCAGCGCCTCCTCCTTGCTGCTGGTTGTGGCCGCCAGCTTGGCCGCCGCCGCCGCCGCCTGAAACCGCGGCAGCCCCGGGAGCATGAAGTCAATGAGCTTCTCCTGCACAGAGACGCGGAGCCGCGGCGCATAGTACGCCCCCTTGAGGCCGGGACTGAGGTCCCAGCCCGCTAGCACCAGCAGCGCCTCTGGGTGCGCGCCGATATCGGCGTACGCCGTGCCCATGCAGTCCTGCAGCCAGTCGCCGGCGTACTGCAGCAGCTGCACGTGATTGCAAATGCATCAGCACATTTGGGTGTGAAATGGGGTATGGCGGGGTTGTACGTCCTCAAGACAAAACAGCGGTTTCCTTGCATTCAGCAATCGCATCCAGCTAGAGCGAGCTAGGCTGACGTCATACTCCTCACCCCGATCCGGGCCCACCGTGAGGGAGCCGCCGCAATCTCTGCCAATCTGCACTGCCAGCCTGCGGAAAGTGTGCGTGACTTTGTCAACCACGATGCCGTTGTCCGTGAGTGCCGCCGCCACCAGCTCGTTGTTGCGCCTGTAGCTGAGCGCCGTGCCTATGGTGGGGTTGAGGCGAGTGAACGTGATTTGATTGTCTGCACTACGAAACAAAAAAATGATGAGGGTTGAAGGGGCGTGCTGGGCGCACGCCGGATCACCCCCCCAACTGCGTCACTCACCAGGGTTCTGCCCAGGAAAGCAGTAGAAGTTGCGCAGCTTGTCTGAGCCTGGCGATGGGAGCATCTCGCCCTGGAGTTTGAATCGCTGGTGCAGCAGGCGCGCGTGTGAGCCGATGGCGCAGAGCTCCGGCATCCTGCGGGGAGGGGTCGCGTTGCGCAAGGAGTTGTGATGTGCCGAGGTCATGTGTCACTTATGCATAAGCATGAACATCATATTTTGCACCCGCCTACAAGTCTGTGCCTAGCCTGCATACAGCATGCACACCGACTCGCCTGCCCGTCTCAAACCTGCACATCCGCGCGCCTGCGCGCCCGCACGCCTGCCTTGCAAACCACTCAAACCTACTTGGCGCGGAGCATGTTCTTCGGCACGGGGTTGCCGCGGCGGACCTTGTGGTCCAGCAGCGTGTAGTTGATGTAGATCCCACGCTCTGGCCCTCAAAAGAGACACGTGTGTTGCAGGAAGCAGTGGCCAGGTCAGGGTCAGAGATAAGTTCATTCATTTTCAACACGATGGGTATGTTTTCACGCAAGAGCCCACGCACCTTGCTCAAGTGAGCTGCGCAAGTCATCATGCTCAACGCGAGGTGCTGATGCATGCGTGTGTTGGCTGCGTGTCGGCAAGCGAGCTCTGCCCCCCACATCCAAACGCACGACATGGTGTATGCAGCAAGCCGCCGAATTGCATGGCCAAGTTGCACGGCAGTGGGACTCTGAGGCACAAAAGCCAGCTACCTATGGCTTCGGACCGCCGCAGCGTCCAGCTGGTGTACTTGACAGGCCGCACCTCGTCGCCGCGCCCGCACACGATGGTCTGCGTGGCATCATACAGCGACACGCGCGAATGTGAGCAGCGAGGCACAAACTGGCGTATTCAGAACCACAATCGAACCCTCAGCAACACTCATGCCAAAGACAACCCACAACCACCACCCTCACCAAGACAAGGCTGCAATAACCCCGACCTGATGCGCGATGATGGCGTGGGTGACGGCCTCCTGCGGGTTGCTGGATCCGACCAGGCTGCACATCATCCGCTTGTAGTCATCGTACCGCATGCCGTGGGAGGGCTGGCGTTTGCCCCTATTCTCGCGCCCCTTGGTCACAGTGCGGTACACGATGTTGTAGGCAGCCAAGTCGCAGAGGTCGAACGACGTGCTGTGGTTTTCGGGGGCATGTGTTGGATTGCAACTCACAAGGTGATGCCAGCACATAAGGGCGTGGAGCTGCCGTGATAGGGTGTACCGAATGCACAAGATGCAGTTGTGCTTCAAACAAACACATGCACATGCCAGCCGCCCGTGCCCTTGAGCTGCATGCGGCTCCCACCCACGCACCTGCCCCTGCGGACGCAGCAGGCCCGCGACCAAGCCACCAGGGCCGAGTGGGCCACCATGGCTGCGCTGGGCCCAAGCTTGCCAGTTGCCTCACGGCTAGCAAGAGAACGCCCCTGAGTGCAAGAAGGGCCAGAAGAGAGGTTAGTTCGGTACATGTTGCTGTTCGTTGATGAGGCCTTGCATGGCTCACAATGCAAGTGTGGCAGGGGGCGCCACGGGTCGTGGGCGGTGCAACAAACAACGCGTGCAAGCTGGTGGCTGGCCTTGGTTCACTCACCGGGTACTTGTCCGCACCGTGGACATACCAGTCCAGGAAGCGCGCGGCCTTGGGCACGTCGTCAATGCGGCTGAGGTCGCTGCTGCACCCAGTATCATTGCACCACCACTGCAGGGGGGCGCAACCCGGAAAGGGCGGGATGTGGGGACAGGCAAGGAGATGTAAGAGTGCCGGTGCAGTGATTTGGGGACACGTGGCGCAACATGTGTCAACAGTGTGAGCCTTGAGCCAACAAGTGACACAAGACGGCTGGAGCGACGGCTGTGTGCCCGCCTGCTAGATCGGCCGCACCTGAAATGCGTTGATGTAGGGCATGTACTTGGTGCGCGTGCTCGGGTTGATCAGGCGCCAGAAGTCGTTTACCAGCTGGTCAAGTTCTGCAGCTGTCATTGGCCTGCGTCGGCAAGTCCAGGAGGAAGACACACATTCAAGACGGCGTGGAACGGTCACGGCGGGCGTGGGGTCATGGGCAGGTTGGGGAGTAGTGCAGAATCAGGGGGCCCAAGCCTAATCCAAGCATCACCACGCATGAAACGCAAGCATGACGTAGAACACCAACGCCCCCGGATGCACAGACCGTATGTGCAAGTGCCGCCTTGCTTGCCTGTCTTGAAACGGCAGCGCCTCAGTGTGCCTCAGCGCGTCGGCCGCCTCTTCCGCCTCCTGCACCTCAGCCTCTTCGGCCGCCTCCGCTGCAGCCTCCTCATCAATCAGCTTATAGAGGCTGTCGAGCTCTTCCAGCGTCGCTGGGGGTCCAGCGAAGCGCGCCGCGTCAGGCAGGGGAACAGTGCCGGCGCCGGTGCCGGCGCCGGCGGGCAGGCTCTGCGTCGGCGGCGTCACCCCAGGCGCAGCGCCGCCAAGGCCCTGCTTGCCCCACGGGTGGTCAGGCGACGCCCCGGAGTCCTTGACTGACTCGCCGCTGCCCTGCGCGTCGCTCTCATGGTTTCCGACCGCCAGGAGGAGATCGTCGTCCTGATCAAAGTCTCCCGCGCTGATCACGGGTCTCTGCGCTTTGTTACCGGGCTGCGGGAATACTACGTAGTCTCTGAGCCAACCGCTAACCCGTCCCGCTCGTCGCACGCGCTCCATCTGTCGGTTGGTGCAATGTGACTCAACGGCTCGTTGTGCCTCAGCGGTCAGATGGTACTAGTCACGCGGGCATGGATATAAAAGGATGTTAGAAAAGAAATGATTTGATGCAACGTACACACGATTTGGTCGAGTGTACGGGTCGGACGGCCCTTCGAAACTCCTGGGCGAGTGGCGGACCTGGCCCGGTCCGCCCCAGGTCCGCCTGCCTGGGGCCCCGGTCCCCCACCCGCAGGTAACCAGAAGTT